AACGGCTAAACAAAAGGGAAAAAATAAAAAATGATTTCTTATTAATATTAAAGGTCTTCACAATTTCATTGCACACAGATTGTGGTTAGTTATCATCAAATCTAGGTCTTTACAAAATCGTATCCTGTAGAAGATAAGAAGTTGGGTTATGTCACCATCAAACTCAAATTAAAGAACCCGCCCCCCTTAAAATACTACTAAAAGCTTTGTTCTTACTTAAGCCAGGAAGCCAAATCTCTTCAGGATAAAACCTAACAGTCTAAATTAACATAAACCTGATGATTTAGATAATTACAATATATATATACACTTTAGGCCAAAAGTGGGGATGATAATATTGATAATATTTAACAAAAGATGGTGACATTCAAATTGCATAATAATGGCTTGGCCGGTAACTTAAGTTGACGGTAACTCTTGATTTGCCTGCCACTTACCCTACATTAATTCCTTTTCCCTGTGACCTGTTATGGCGCTCATGGTTTGACAAAAAAATAAGAAAGGGAGCATATATACCCCTCTTTTTCATGGTTTTTGTATTAATGTCAATGGCATTTGGTCCCATTCCCATTCCTGATTGTTGGACACTGAAGTGTTCTTCAGTCAGTTTTGCAGCACTTTGAAATTACTTGTTTTTAATGATTTTAAAAATACAGTCTTCATATAGTGTATTACAAAAATTAACTTTTTGTGCATTACCTGAAAACTTAAATACTAGATTTAATTTATAAAACGATAATTATTTACTTAGTTGTGAAAATTTAGCATATATATTTTAATATAAGATTTGGACATATATTTAATTTAAAATCAATTAATTATAGGTGGCCCTCTTTATATTGAAGCCACATGTTTCTTTGTTATATTTTTTATGTGGGATTTTGATTTTTCCACTCAACATACTCTTTCATGTACAGGCTTGGTATAAATCCTATCATTTGATTTAATATGTCCTATTACATGCAAGTTCAGTATGGTAGTTCTGTTTGGTAAGTTGGCAACAGGTTTTTCAAGAATGGAGCCTAGGCTTATCATGTGAAAATTTGACATGTGGTTAACACAATATTTACATTAAATCTAAAGCCATAAATAAGTGACCCTTCTTGTATTTAAACCATATATTTCTTTTCTTTTTTTTTCTTTTTCTTTTTCTTTTTTTATTTTTTTTTGTAATATGATGATGTACTCTATAAAAAAGTATAATCCTCTCTTTCTTTCATATCTCTTCTAACTCGACTCAAAATTCAATTTCAAATCTCTCCCCACTTAATTCAATATTCGAATCTTGAGATTTAAAATTAAAAATCTCAAGTTTTTAATTAGTTAAACTCTTTGAGAGCACCATCTATATTTTTTGTTATATTTTGATGTGGAATTCTTCCACTAACATCATTTACTAATAGATACAACTCCTAAAGTTTTATAAGCATGATTTAGTTACGATCTTTCGTTGACATTTAAGATACAGAGAGGAGGGCGGGCGAATGATGTTTACTTTTACCGTGATTAGTCCATATATATATTTCAAAACTTATCGCGGTCATTTTCTTTGAAAGTGATCATTGCCAATGAGGAAAAAGTTTTTACCAATGAGGAGAAAGTAATGTGAAGGAACACTATTCTCTATAATCTTTACATATCTTCGGTGGGGGTTGAGATCAATTGATAATATTTATGAGAACATAAATCGTTTGTTTACATGTGGATGTTCGTTGAATCTTTTCGGCATAATTTGGTTGGAAGTGTTAAGCAAAAATAAATATGAGTACGTCGGGTTGGGCATTTTATTTAAGAAGGTCGTTGGTTGAAGGAGCAGAGTCAGACCGGGATGGGAAGAAGCCCCATATCCATCAGTTACTTCAATAATGCAGAGAGTACTTAATTTTTCATAATTTCCTTCATGTGTTCCCCATTTAGCACACATCTCCCAGAGAAGAAAATTCGCTTAATATCATAGGAAAAATTTGTTTACCTCAAACATGTGATTGTATACGTGTGATTGTATAATTACGAGTATAATAAATTATACTAAATTACAAAACAATAAACTCTTACTATAATATATGTTCTTAATTTTATATCTTAATCTTCTCAAACAATATTGTCAATTGCCGAATGTCCCTAATTCATAAACTAGGGATATAGTAGGATGTATACAAATCTCAAGAGGGACCACAGCTACTTACTTTACATGAGGCGAAATTAATGCAAGACATATATATGCGTTATTAGTTATGTAGAATGATAATAGAGTTTGTATTTTTAATCACAGATTTAAAATTTAATCTCTAATGCTTGTATGGGAAAAGTCAGAAATTTATCCTAAAATTAATGCTGTGGCCAAAAAATGACTGACCCAAGCACATTTGATTATTGACTTATGGTTAAGATGTGCAAAGCTGGGATGTTCTGTGTTGTGCATAAAATTCTTGCAGGAAAGTTTTGACCATATCCACTTCCTTTAGATCTAGGGTTTATCCGCATGGAAATTAAAAGTCAAATGTTCAGTAATATATGGCTAAGATGAATTAGCCATTTGGGATTTTCAGAGCAAATTTGATTGTTCTTGATTATTGATACCATCTGTACAGACTACGTATCTAAATCTGATTCTGCATTGAAAAGCCCAAGTAAGATTATTATTACTATAACTTGTGTGTTTGGAAATCGGCGGAATTCCAGCAGATAAATTTGCAATTGAGTTGATTCATCAACCATGGAAAAGCCCCTGCAAGATTATTATTTCTTTCTTGCGCACTCAAAACTGTGTAATAATTTAGTATGTAAGTATGTTATATGTAACCTCTCACTTTTAATAGTCAATTATACCAAGTCAATAGTATAACGATTGCTCGGAAAACCACCTCGATGAGGAGGCAGCAGGGGTGGCAGAGTTTTTTCAACTGATAAGGATTGCACAGGCAGGCGAAGGCAAAATCTGTTTTAAGACTACATATCCATATTTGACTTGAAAATTTATAACTTTAAATTTTTTATACATGATATTTATTTAAATATTAAAAATTTATATCGATTATGCAATGTACCGGTTACCGACACAAAACTTTTCTTTTTTATTGTAAGTTTGCACCATTTTTTTTAATATCAGCAAATTTGAACAATAAAAATTAACAATTTCCTACTCCCTTATTTATCCCACCAATGGGCATATAACTCGAAACTAGGTCTCAAAACCAGCGATGGCACCACAGAGATAAACATTATTTTGTTGATAAATACAGCAACCACTCAGCAGATGCTCAATTATTTTCAGAAATCAATACTGCAGAGTACACGGTATACATATTAATTATTCCTCATCAATACAAGGCCAACAGCCATCATGGTTCTTTTTTTTTTTTTTATCAGCAAGAAATTTATTGATACCCCTTTTTATGGTCATTCATAATTGAGATCATGAATCCATCCAATGGTAAAGATCCCAAGTAGACACTATCAAGCTTGTTCAATATATATATATACCTACCCCAGGAAATCTAGCAGTTTCTTTCTCTTAAAAAGAATAAGTACTTCATGTTAAAAAAAAAAAAGAATAAGTACTTCAATTGGTAAAGTGTTTGTATTTCATTCTTAAATCCCTTTCTCCATATCGAAAGAGAAAAAGCACCCATGATCTTGCGTGTTGAATGGGTTTAAATAAAGAAGCAAGTAAAAGTTTGGAACTGGCCAGAAGCCTACCCAAGGATTCTCTTTTGGTGTGTGTTTCTTTTTGCAAAATGCCATCACTATCACATCAACCATCACTGGAGAACTCTACACTCTTATACCAAGAAAGTTGCTACATCGATCGAACCCAACAAAATCGGTAACACCCTGAATCTTGTATCAAAATAGAAAGAGGATCATAAGATCTAAATATTAAAATTAATTAAAAAATTTTTTGATCAATGATAAATTTTGACCTTTATCAAAATCTTCATCTTTTTAGGAAAAAAAAAAGGGGGGAAATCTAAATCTTCTTCTTCTATGATTAAGATTAAGCAGCAAGGTTTGATTCATCAGAAATCAAGTTAATTACAAAAAGATCATTTGCTAATTTAACTTAGCATTGAGGAAAATTGGACTTACTAAGTTTTTAATCCTACGGTTGAATTCATTAACGGCTAAGGTAATTATTCAAATATTTCCTTGACATCCAAGTCAGGGTCTGTCTGAATCATAAAATGCAAACACAATTTCTGGTTAATTTTTTAATCCTAAGTAACATTAACTAAGGTTAATTAAGATTCTGAATCCTCCAACAACTTAAGACCAGGTAACGCGACAGGGACTCGGAGAGAAGAACCTCTTTACCATCCTCTTTCTTTTCGCCTGGGAGGACGTGTCTCCTGGAATTTTTGTGTACATGCAACTTTTTTCCTTCTCGTGTTTGACTGTCGAGTGGTTTCTGTTTTCTTTAGATCTTTAGTAATGATTTATTTTTCCTTTTATTGTTAAAAAAAAAAAATAGTTCTTCTATCTTTTTCCATATGTATTTTATGATGTTACTAGTAGATAAGTAAACAATTCTATCAACAGATATGTGGACAAAACTCAAGAGAAAAAATCAATCTGCCCAAATTTTTTTTTCTCTAGTTTAATTTGGCTTTTTCTTTAACATATATCAAATTCATCATAAAAAGGTTTAGTAAGACTGGATACGAACGACAGCGGCGCGCCCTCATTTTCCCTTGCTATTTCTTCGCAGTTGCCTCAACATTTCGATAATCTTTTCTTGGTCAAAACATTAAGTATGGTTAAATTCATTAGTCTTTTCAAAGTAAGTAATGGTAGGCAACAAACGAAATAATTCCCTTACAATTCACCCTTGACGTTCCTTACATTTACACTAAGAATCTGTTTAGTTTGAATGTAACGAAGAATTCATTTAGTTAAATGTAATAGTGTAATTTATAACGTATTTGATTTGCGAAGAGAGGAGGTCAGAAGAAGGGAAACAAAAATTAAAGAAAAGAGAAGGGTAAGTAAGAAGAAAAGTTTCGTTTTAATTTCCTTTATAATTTTGGTATATCCAAACAAAGAGAAGTTGAGACAAGTTCGTTCCTCAAACCAGACAAAGGTGGGCTACACAAAAATAATCTTTTTCCTCCCCTCCTCATCCCTTAAACCATAAAAACCCTAAAAATTCTTAATTCACATCTAACAAACAAATGTTGATTTGACAAAAATAAAGAAAGCACTTAAGATGACAATGAAGATATATTGATATCAAATGTACAATGCATTAATTTGTACGAATTACATAGGAGCATAGACAGCCCTTGAGTTACATGAATAAAATTAGCAGAAAAATTACCCTTATAATAAGAAAGGCAGCAGCCCCTAAGTCTGTACCTACTTCCTAGACAAAAGCTTTGCATTTTCCTTTTTCTTTTCAGGTTTTGTTCTCCTGAACTTAGGGGAAATTCCCTAAAAGCAGGTTCTACCATTCACCCTTCATCCCCATAACTTAATTACTATTACATATATACAGAATCTCCCATACCAGATGCCGGAAGCTATACACAATCAAGGAAACTTGAAGAAATAACCCCCCAAAAGGAATTAATCGGAAAACAATCTTGTATTTGCATAACCCAAACATGCCCTTACTGGATCAAGTCCGAAACCCAATCAACATCCGGAGCTCCGGAATTCTCACCCTCTTCAACCCGATCCAAAGAATTCTCCTTACTCAGTTTTTGAAACATTTTGGCACGTAAGTCCCTACCTGACTCAACCCTCTGCATCACGGGTTCCTCGTCGCAGTTCTTGTCCCAGAAGTCCAAATACCCGATCCCGGAACGGGAAGGGTTCCTGGTGGCGATGGGAGTGGTAGGGAGGCTGCAGAACCCAGGTCGACTGACGGCTCCTCTGGGAGAGCCGAAAACAGGAGGAGGAGAAGAACCCACGTGCGTGGTCCAAGAAGAAGGCATGGATTTTACCTTACCCAGCTGTAAGTTCCTCAAAGAAGCTACGACGTCGTTGATTGAAGCTGTACCCAGCGACCGACTAAGTGACTGAGCCATCGGCGATATCGGAGGTGAAGACTCCGCTCGAGGACTCATGGGTGGGGAAACCGAGCCGGGTGAAGACCAAAATGGAAGAATTTTTGCGCTGGTAGGCGAATCGTCATAAGAATCCGGCGAGTTCACGATTCTCAGTTGGTCGGACGAATGGGCAAAGAAACATACACGACGCCTGCAACCAGGTCCGTCCTTACACGGCTGCGTCCTGTACCGCGCAGGATGAAGCCAGCACTCAAAAACCCCATGAGCGAACTCGCAGGAATCCCCCTTTCTACAGTTCCCTTTCCGGAATTCCGGGCACGCCGTACCCGAATAATGGTACTTCCTAGGATCACGCCTCCGTGCCTTCTCTCCCGGATGGGCGTACGGGCATTCCGTCCAGTCATGAGACCTTCCTCGGGCGCACTTCCGAATCTTGAACTCATACATCCTGAAATGATCACAGGAGTAAGCATCCACCGGAGAATCAGGGTTCTCCAACCCAGAGAACTCAGAATCTGAATCAACATCCCGGTCGTTCGACGGTAAATACCGCTGGAGTGCAACCAACGCTTCTTGAAGGTGAAACGGACTGTTATTGTTGTCGGCAGCATTATATTTGACAGTAGAGTAAGCCTCAGCCATCGGATCATCCAACGACGGCCAAGGAGGGACGAGGATGGTCGGATTGTGACGGTGATGTTCGCCGAGCATCATCTTGGATTACTGGTGGGTTTGGGACTGTATGGAAAAACACCAGCATGTTGGCTGCTTATAAACTGCTCAGGGTTTAACCATGGTTAGGGTAGTGTAACCAAAGTTGGGTTTATTACGAGAAAGAGAGAGGGAGTAATTAGATATATATAGTTTTTATTCATCTTAATATCTAAAAATTATATTGCATTGTAATTAATTTAAAATTAATTTACAGTCAAATTTTATAAAAAAATATTTTTAATATTTATTTTTTTATTTATAAAATTTTAATTCAAAATTTTACTTTAAAAAAATTAAATTTCTTTCAATGAAACTAATAAATCATTGATAAAAATAATTAGATATTAAATTTACTATCAAGTGCTGTTTTTAAAATTAAATTTAAATTTAAGTTGTGAAACAAATATATAAAAAATTACTTTCTTTAAATATATCATATTGAAAAATATATTTTTAAAATTATTAAAAAAATTAATTTCATGTAAAAAGTTATTCGGGATATATTGTAATAGAAAAAGGAATAATTAGTAAGCTTCTGGTTAATACCACTGCGATTAAAATGGAGGGGAATGGTCGCAAAACAGCCGGTTACGGCTGCGAATCTGAGGGTTGAAGTGGGTGGATCCACGTGCAGCAAGAGGATTTTTACGGTGACGTGGATTAGTTTATATTTATATGAAAGATTGGGGTAAATTGGTAACCACGCCGTGGGGGTAATTATCGCGTATTGGAATAAGTATTTCCGGATTCCGGTGGAATATAAATGGAATAATTTATAACATCAATACATAAATAAATCAGTAAATGGAATAATTTATCTGGGCTAGGCTAGGCTAGGCTAGGCTAGGCTAGGCTAGGCCAGGTCCCTGGTCTTCCGAAGACAGTGGAACTCATAGATTTGCAGGAAAAAATACTACTAATACTGTAACAATAATAATAAGAAAAAGAATTTATTTAACATATATTTAAAAAAATGTATAGATTAAAATTATATTAAATGTTTTTTATTATAAATTTATATGAAAAATAAATAAATATTCATTTATTTAATAAATTTTTAAATTTTAAATTTTTTATATACATATATAATAAAAAATATTTTTAACATATATCCTAAATGATACAAGTTTAAAAAATTCTAAAAATAAACAACAAAAAAAGTTTGTATAATTTATATTATTTTAAATTACACAATAAAAATCATTAAATAAGATAAATGTTTTAATATTAAAAGCTTATCGTCCCATTCTATAACTTTTATTTTGTATTTTTTTTAATGAAAAGTTAAATATATTATTAAATAAAGAAATCATTATTTAAGTTATATAAACCTTGAACTGAAACTTTAAATCTAATAGTTCGACCCCAAACCGTAAGTGCTTGGATGAAGTGGTTAGAGTTTCGAGTTATACCACCGTGAACTTCACTAAAAAGCGATCCGATAGCCATGTGCCTCATTTGAAGGGGTGAAATGTTCACCAAATCTGGGGATCGAATCCCCAGTTGTTAATCACTAATTCAAACTAACTTTTTAACTATTATCCTTATCAAAAAAAAAAAAAAAAAGTTATACAAAGCTTAAAAAGTATAGTTGTTGTATAGCACTAATTACAAACCAATTGATATCCATCACAAATGAGTTAATTAAGGTGAAAATGATTCGATTATAATTAGAGATGCTTGCTAATTGTTATGGGTGATATTGACAGAGCTACTAAGGTAATAAGGCCACCTCTATAAACATCTTTACCACTATATTACCCCTTGGTCACAACAACTTTAAGAGAGAGTAAGATTACAAACTAACCATATTCCTCTTCCCAGATAAGGCCCTATAATAGTTGATTAGTTTGGAGAAGGATTATTGCTATATTCTAAAAGGACTATGGTAGTAACTTCATTATCTCATAATACTTTGGAAGCACATTCCTCATCAAGTTTCTCACCTTTGCGCTTGCTAATTGCCTCCATCTTTTTGCTAAGAGAGAGAAAGACTTTTATCTAATCTCTTCCATCTTCCTTTACTAGTCTTTAGTTCCTCATTTTGCTAGTTTTTCAAAGGGATGTCCACTAGGTTTGTATCCAATGCATAATCAACATTAAAAGGCTTTAAATCCTCATGCTCCTATGTTGGTAGACCCTCACCAAATTCCTTACCCGCATTTGTTTCTTAAGTTGGGAGTTGGACTTTGTTTTCCTTTCTATCGCTAATCGCCTCCGTTGCACTAACTTCTTGCCCAAGCTTCTCTGTTCGCTTTAGTATGGCAGCCACATGGATGTGGTCATACTGTTTTTGAACAAGAGGTGGATGATGGCCAAAATCTTCATTCTCAACTTCCATTGGGGGATTCCATAGTTCCTCTGTTTCCAGTCACAACCATGCACCATAGCCATGCTCAACTTTCTCCCCTTTGGTCTTCAGTGGACAAACCAATTCATAATCAAATTCAATATGTCTCATGCATCCACATACATAACAAAATTTTAGAAGTTTCTCATATTTGAGATGAAATTTTTGAGTCTCCTTCTCTGATACTTTAGCAATGATAAATCTATGAAGAGGTTAGCAATCTCCATTGAAATCGTTATTCTGAGAGCCGCATGATATTTTTCATCCATTTCTAACACCCTACCAAGATTCATTCCAAGCTTAAAGTCCACTGTCTCCATCCATAACCCTAACAGTAGATCTTGAAGATGTACCCAAACTAGCTAGATTTGAGGTGAAGGAAGGTATATTGCTTTGGTGACAATTTTGATCAAACCTCCTTAGTATGATCAAAGAATTATTAAAGTTCCATGGCACCTTCATTAGGACCTTGTCTACATCAAACTTGTTAGTAAACTCCAAAAAGTTATAGTTTTTCACCAAGTTCACTTACCTTCAATCCAATCTAAGAACTTTGAGAGGATAACAAGGTGTTTTGAAGTACTGTGAGATTGATTTTCTTTTCCTAGAAATAATTTTCCCAATCAAATAGTGATCCTCCTTGGATTCAAGGACTGCTTCCCAAGCATCCTGAAGAGAGACAACATCTTCTTCTTCTTTGGTCAATTAGAAGTTGCCTAGGATAGAGTTGAAAGCCTTGCCTTCAAGAGCTGGCACCGCAAATTGTCGTTCTTCACAGTCTCTGTTTTTACCTTGCTGTTGACGAGACCAGTTACTAGCCAAAACCTTTATTGTCATGAGGAGGATGAGCAAAACCTAAGTTATTGCCCAAGGAAAGGGCTATGAGGGGGGTATGTCGCATGGGAGGAATGGGGGAGAGGGAGCAACTACTAGGCGCACGAGAGAAGTTGAGAAAAATTTTTAGCAAGTTTTGATAAAATTTAGATTGTTTTACTTTATAGTTTGATAATCTGAATTATAAAATAAAATACTCATAATAAAAAAATTATTGAAAAGTAATGCACAATTCCTTTCATGTGAATTACATATTTTGTAGTCATGAATAAAAAAAAAAAAAAAACCTTTTAGAGTGATTCTCCATTAATCAATAATTAAGAAACATATAGTTTTTGATAGAATAAAGTGCAAAATTTTTATCTTAAAAATTATGATAATAGGTTTTTTTTTCAAGAAGGTAATTGCAGTTAAAAACGTCATTTTGGTTTTTGTTTTGTTTTTCGTTTTGTTTTGTTATTATTATTATTTTTTTTGTAAATAAAGAAGATCGCATTAAACTAGTGAAACAACATCAACACACTCGGGGAAAAGCGGTCCCCGTAATATCCGCAACACAAAACAGTTTAACAGGAGGTGGAAGGATAACAATGCTATGATTGATACTGTGTCCCAGCTTGGCCATTTCATCTGCAGCTATATTCGATTCCATTTTAAAACGTCATTTCGGTTTTCAAAAAACAGTGTTTTCCTTCTTTTCATTTTTCAATCCAAAGGCCTTTTGAAAACGTTTCAATGGTATGGTGGCCATCATTCCTTTATTAAAAATTTCTTAGATAAATTTAAAGGTGTGGGATTCCAACCCTAATCCCACGCTCCAAAGAAAAAAAAAATTCCTAAGACTTTTTGGGGTTTTTTTTTTTTTTGTTTTTGTGAACTAAGGAGAATTGTAAGAAATGGGAGAAATAATACCTGGGTGTAGAATCCAGAACTTGAATGTCATAACACGTTCCACATAGATCGTGACTACTAGACCACATAGTGTTACACCCTAAGACTTTTTGGTTAATGCATCATTTAACGACGTTTTGAAGTATGGAGTAAGCTTTAAAAAAGTATTTTAAAAAAGGTGTTAGTAATACTTAGAAAATTTATTGCCACCATATTCTAGGTTTTTTAAAAAGTATATTATTTTTTTTACAATATAAGGTTAATTGATTTGCAGTACATAAATTTAAATATTTAATTTTGATTTTAAATGAAGTTTTTTATATTAATGTGTATTAATTCAACAAAACTCTTGCCAGTTAAAATGTATATTACTAATTATGCTTGTTTAATAATGAATCTAAATTTTTTTAATTCAACTAATTATAAATAATATACAAAAGAAAATAACTCTCATTTTTTCTTAAATCTCTCTTTATTTATTTTGAGGTTCAAACTTTAGATATTTATATTAGAATATCAAATTTTTAATCAGTTAACTCACTTTTTTTTATAACAATGAATGTAACTCTTAGAATTAAAAGAACACTAACCAGCTAGCGTCTCTCTTCCCCTTTGTGATTAGGGAGATTGAATAAACTAAGATGAAAGTTTTTTCTCTTAAAAAAAGGGGTTTTCTTTCCTTTGTGGGGGTTCTTCTTTTCCCTCTTTTAATAATTTTTGCTTGGGCTTTTTCAAAGTTTTTCATCTGGTTTTTCTTCAATTTGAAGAGAACAACAGCATGGTGATGGTATTGGTTAGGCTCAAATTGGTTATGGTACTTACTCCAACTGTTGGTGGCATGGTCAAAAGACTGGTGGAGACTTGAATTCTCTCTTAGCTTAATTCGAGCATGACTTTAGTTATCCAAGGATGAGACTCCAACTATTCTCCGAACTAGCACATCCCCTCTTCGGTACCACATTCAACAAGTGGAAATTATTATTTACCAAATTATCTATAATTTTTGTATTTAAGTAGTTTTGTTGTTGCCACTACAACAATATC